AGGAAAATATGATTTATTTACAATTTGCAGGGGTCACAAAAAAAACAAACAGCAAAACAGGGAAGCTTAAAGCCTCAGGGTCTCCAAGGCCAAAACAACAAACAAAACCCCCCCCTTACTTATAAAACAAAACACTTTCTAACATAGAAAATGAAAAGGAAATACAATACCTGGACTCCCTGGCTAACCACAAAACAAGGAGAAAACAGTTCAACAAAAATGGCAGAGAACCCCTACCAGCTTCCACTGTGAACAGAAAAACAAAACTTTAGTCAATCAATTGTTCAACATGAACACACAGAGACATTCAGCTCATGAACAAGATCACTTCAGATCAAGGCCCAGTGAATAAGAGAAGGGGCCTGACATCTCAGGATTGAAGCTCTTTATGAGGTGGCTGACGAGCTTCAACGCATTGCACCTGTAACAGCCAGGGAGACCTGAAACACAAACATAGAGCTCTCTCATGAAGAGAGCCCCTAGAGGTCAGTGACCGTAACAGTGGTTCTTGAAGCACTCACTCCAGCTGCAGTCCACTCTTTGTGAATCTCCCCCACATTTTTGAATGGGTTTTGTTTCACAATCCTCTCCAGGGTGCGGTTATCTCTCTTGCTTGTACACTTTTTTCGACCACATCTTTTCCTTCCCTTCGCCTCTCTATTAATGTGCTTGGACACTGAGCTCTGTGAACAGCCAGCCTCTTTAGCGATGACCTTTTGTGTCTTGCCCTCCTTGTGCAAGGTGTCGATGGTCGTCTTTTGGACAACTGTCAAGTCAGCAGTCTTCCCCATGATTGTGTAGCCTATAGAACTAGACTGAAAGACCATTTAAAGGCTTTTGCAGGTGGTTTGAGTTAATTAGCTGATTAGAGTGTGGCACCAGGGGCCATCAATTTTGAACCTTTTCACAATATTCTAATTTTCTGATATCGTCACCTTCTTAAAATAATTGCCTAAGTCATTTTTTTTCAAAAATGATTTTTTTGCCTAAATCATCTCTTCATGATGCTGGCCACCTCTGGTAAAATTGCCTACATCCTCAATTAAACAGATCATGCCATTCTACCCCTTTTGTATAATTGCCTATGTCAAGAGTGTGACTTAGGCAGTTTTATTTTTGCTTAAGTCACCAGACAAATTGACTTAGGCAATTTTAGAAGTTTTTCAAAATGGCGGATGATTCTAGGAGACGAAAATTCTACACAGCTGCTGAAGCTATTTCCAAGATTCTGGACTCTTCCCATGTTGGTAAGTGAAGATGTTTACTATAATATACACTAGGCTATCAAAATTGCATAAAATGTGATCTTTTGTGAAAATTTTAGTTTAGGAAGCTAGCTAAAAATGCTCTGTGTTAGACTGGCGGCCTGTCCAGGGTATGCCCTGCCTTTGCCCGAAGCCAGCTGAGATTGCCTCCAGCATTAACCATGACCCTAATGAGGAATAAGCGGTATCGATAATAGATGGATGGATGGATGGATGGATGTAAGTTAGCTAAAAAGCACAGTGGAAAGACTCCAGAGTCATCTAACTAAGAAAGTTTTCAATTCTGTAATGTAATCTACAGTCTAGAAAAAATTCACAGAGGACCCTCTTTACTCGATTGATTTTAACTAATGAAAATTTCAGATGAACATAAGTAATCGTAAATGATTTGACTGGTGTTATAGTGTGCCTGTGTTGCTGTATCTAGAGGCAACTTGCAAACCATTTTGGGAATCCACAATGTATCTTAAATACAATTGACCTCAAAGGCAATTCATGTTTGTCAGAATAATCACACATTTTTGAAAGATTTGAATATTTTTTTTTCCCATTTTGGTAGGAGATGCACTTGATATTGATGACACCAGTCTGTCCTCATCTACTGAGAATGACAATGAGACCATCAATAAAGAGATGATGCAGTATGTTGATAATGATGCACCATCTGCTCCCATGGATAAAGTTAAAGATGCCAAGCAGACACATCCACACCAAGAAGACACAATATCAAATGATGATGGCGATGATGGTGATGATGTCATCCAAGATCCGGACTATACCCCAACCTGTGATGAGTCCTCTTCTCCTGAAGATGAAAACAGCCTATCTATGGTGGCAACAACTTTAGAACAGCAGGATGAGGATGTTGAATTAAAAGATGTAGGCAAAAAGAAAAGAAATAAACACCTCAGTCCAAGAACATGGAAGCAAAATGAATCCAAGCAGAAACGTCTAAAAGGAATTTCATACAAGAGCAAAAGTGGCAAAGAAATAAGTGCAAAGACTATGGGTCCTCCCTGCAACTCCAAGTTCTGTCAGCGAGTCTCAACTCGAGACTGCCAAGTCCTTACAGAAGAGCAGCGGCAGTGGGTATTTGACAAGATTTGGGCAATGAACACCTGGGAAGAACGTCGGTTATACGTCACCACTTTGGTCACAAAGACTAGCATAAAGCAAAAAAAAGTTACGGAGGGATCCCGACGCAATTCATCATTTACCTACCAACTGAAGCTTGAAGATGGAACAAGAGTTAAAGTGTGCAAGGCACTTTTTTCTTCTACAATTGGTCTCCCTGAAAGAACCATTACAAAATGGCTGGATGACCCCATCAACCCTGAAAAACAAGCAGAAGTGCCATCAAAATCTGGACCCAAAAGTGGCAGGCACAGAAAGGTTGAAACTGATGTCAAGGATTTCCTTAAGAACTGGTTGAGGGACCTGCCCAGTGTTGACTCACACTACTGCAGAAGCACAGCTACCTACAAAGACAAGAAGTTCCTTTACCAAGGCACAACCATCTCCCAACTACATCGTGAATATGGACAGGCAGCTGCAACTGCTGGAGTGAGAGCTGTTGGAATCCAATATTTCACAGCTGTGTTCCATGAGGAGAACTACTCCGTATTTATTCCAAGAAAAGATCAGTGTGATGTTTGTGTTTCATTCAAACATGGAAATATCAGTAAGGCTGCATACAACGCACATGTCACCAAGAAGGATGAAGCGAGGCAAGAGAAATCTAGGGACAAGGATTCTGCTGATAAAGAGAAGTCCGTTTGGACAATGGACTTGCAAGCTGTGCTACTGTGTCCAAAAACCCAAGCCAGCAGCCTGTATTACAAAACAAAACTGCAGGTCCACAACTTTACCCTTTTCAACTTGAGATCAAAGGAAGGCTACTGCTATGTTTGGGATGAATCAGAAGGTGACCTCTGTAGCGAGGTATTTGCACATCTTCAGTATCATCATTTTGAAGGTGTGATCAAAGGCCATCCAGACCTCAAGGAGATCATAGTGTGGAGCGACGGTTGCGGTTATCAGAATCGCAATACATGTGTAGCAAATGCATACTCTGAGCTTGCAAGGAAATATGGGGTGCTAATAACCCAGAAATACCTTCTTGCAGGTCATACACAAATGGAGTGTGACAGTATGCATAGTACTATTGAACGAAAATTAGTTGCAGATATCTTCACCCCAAGAGACTATGTCGTTGTACTCCAGACTGCAAGAATCAGGCCATCACCTTACTATGTGAAAGAGCTCAAGCACGATGAGTTCCTGAAGCTGAATGGATCTTACTTCTTCAGCATCAGACCAGGCAAAAAAGTTGGAGACCCGACTGTGCATGACTTGCGGGGTCTTCAGTTTAGCAGTGACGGCAAGGTCCATTTCAAGCTGTCCTTTTCAGAAGACTCTGTGTGGGAAGAACTGCCATAAAGAGTGCAGGTGCCAAATGGGCCAATGGCATGGATAAGTTTGTTTCCATGTGCTCTGCCAATCAAAGAGAGAAAGTTCCAGGACCTCCAGTCAATGAAACCCATCATGCCTGTCGAGTGTCATCACTTCTTTGACAATTTGCCACACTAATAGGCATCAGACAAAAACTCAGCAAAGAAGAGCTGGAAGGAGAAGTGGAAAAAATGCACATGCCTCCTCAGCATTATGTTTTGTTAGTTTGTGCTGTAAAATTGCCTAGGTCACAAAGGCATGTTCAGAAATTTGCCTAAGTCATTTAATTCTGTCATGTTCCATGTTTGACTGACCTTGCTGTTTGTATGTCAAAAGACATCTGTTGTTACAACTTTTTTGATTAAAATTGTTCGTAAATATCATTTATTCAACAAATGGTTCAGTTTTTTGTGTTTCCTGAAAAATTGCAAAAAATGACTTAGGCAATTATTTTAAGAAGGTGACGATATGATGAATTTGAGATTTTCATTTGTTGTCATTTGTAATCATCAAAATTAAACAAAATAAACATCTGAAATATATGAGTTTGTATGTAATGTATGAATATAATATACAAGTTTCACTTTTTAAATGGAATTACTGAAATCAATCTACTTTTTCATGATATTCTAATTTTATGACCAGCACCTGTAGTGATAAACTGAATTTTCCAATTTGCTTGCTTTTAAGTCATAACAGTCAAAATTAATATTGTACGGAAGAGGATTAGGGCCACTGAAAAAAAAAAGTTAACTGATTTTTAAATCTTATTTATTTAATATGGGAAAAAGGTCAGAATTCTGAGAAAAAAGTCAGAATTGTGATAGTAAAGTCAGAATTCTGATATTAAAGTCAAAATTCTAAGATAAAAGTCAGAATTCTGAGATTAAAGACAGAATTCTGAGATTAAAGTCCGAATTCCGAGATTGAAGCTGAAATTCTGACTTTTTTTCCCATATTAAACTGAAATAATTTTTTTCTAAAATCAGTTATCTTTTTAAAAAAAAAATTTCAGCGACCCTAATCCTCTTCCGTAATACAGGCCTAAGCGTTTGATGTGATTATTTTTTTCCTAATGGAACTATTGAAATGAACCAGCTTGATGAATCACTACACTTTAAAAGCTTTCCAAATGAAAAATACATAGAGTGTGAGGATGCTCTGAAGAAGGACGTTTCTATGGAGGAGAAGCGCCTCTTTGCACCGTGAGCTCATTGTGGCTGCATGCAGAGGAGGGCGGGGCTCCCAGCATCATCGCCACCGGCCATCACTGCTTCATTGTAGGCTGCTGCTGCTCCTGCTGCTACTCATCCAGACGGTGGAAGCCGATTTGAATTTATATAAAGATAAGATGGCATCTACAGGCTTTGATTGTCGTTAGGATCCCACAGCTGATGAGGAGTCGCTCCGAGGTAAGTGCGTGGAAGCGCTGCGTTATTCTCGCTGTTTGTATTATCATCGTGGGAGTAAACAGTCAGGATAGCGGGCCTAGATGGAGATATAGCAGCGGGGATGTTATTCACAGAGAAAGCTTCGGCAATATCCGGGTAGTTGTCAATGCCATGCATCGTAACATAAGCGGTGTTATTTGGCCCTGCAGCGGCTGCTGATCGGAGCCTGGCCTACACCGGCTGGGCTTTAAAGATGCTGCTGGGATCCATCCTCTGTGCTTCTGGGTTGTTTTTTTTTTTGGCAAACAACTGAAGCTCAGGCTTCGATCCTGTTTCCATATTTGCATGCATTTGATGATAACATCAGAATCTGTCGTGCAGGTAGGATGTTGGACTGTTATCAGGTGTCTGATATTAAAATAATCCGGATTAACGTCAGTGTGAGTTGTGATTTGTAACATCCTGTGCGCTCGGTGCTTCTGTTACAACACATTAGTGACCATCATTGTAGAAGATGCTGCAGTGATGCTGCAAGACGTGATGGTCCACAGTGGGTTGGCAGGGCCTGCGCTCTCAGCTGAGCCTTCATCAAAATCTAGGTGCTATGAGAGGGGAGAGATTATAATTTATTTATTAAAATTTTTGATAAAGTTTCATCAGAAATATGGGCTGCAATTAATTTAAACCTTATAGATCATACTGAACCCTGTTTGATTAGAAAGTAGCATTAATATTATATACAGTATAGTTGATAACTCCATATGTTTTTTTTTTTTTCAATTGCCCCCTGAATTACTTCCTGTTTCTATCTGAAAAACTCACACTGAGAGAAAAGACAATTAGAAGAAATTAATTGATACAATTACTTTGACCTCGGCAGGAAACATTGCGCTGGATTTTGATAGATATGCAAGAAAAGGAGTAAAGAATAGGGCTGTTATTACCCCAGGCCTGATACTGATGGTGGAGTGGAGATAGATGAAGTTGGTCAGTTTGTAAGCAAGCATTAGGCAACAGTGGAGAGAAAAAACTCCCTGTTTGGAAGAAACCTCTGGCAGAACCAGGCTCAACATGGCCGGTTTAAATGAGACGCAGTAAGAGTCCGGGAGGAATTATACTCTGAGGAAGTTTTAGCTACGATGGTGGAGGAGGGGCTGGAGGTGGGTTGAAATGGGGTCATCTGAATGAAGTCACACAGTGCTACCACCGCCTGCGCACTAGTAGCAGACAAGTTGCAATTCGGAGGCCTTTTAAGATGAACTTTGGATACCGATTGGCTTTCGTTAAGGTGTGGTTCAAAGGTGATTGGATGTCGTAGGCGGATGAAGGCGAGTAATCCGTTTTTTCAGTTGAAGTTCCGCCTAGGCTCCATTTTGAGTCACAGTTAAATGATTCGAGTTTTTACCTTCTGATATTTTTACTATTGATTTTTCAATATATTCTTGACCATTTTAAGTATTTAATATTTTGAAGTAAAAATAAGCAAACGCAGTCCAGGATTCCGAAAGAAATAGTGAAATAACCCATATGGGGCAAAATTTAGTTTGTATTATTATTATGAGTAGCATTTTGTACCTCATTAAAAACAACAAATTTAGAGTGACTCAAAAATAGATAAAAATGAACAATTAACGCTCTTTTTACTTGGATTTCTACCCTGTGTGGGATTTCCATTGATTTCGATTGTAGGATTTATATTGATTTTATTACTATATTGTTGTGTGTCACTTCAGATAAATAAATTTTTTCAGAGCAATTCTTAAAAATAAACATTAATAAATGCACAGTATTAAAACCGTAATAAACTGGTGATAAAAACATATAATTTGGAACAACCAGACAGATACATCACACAATATAACTTTAATTCTCTACTTACTTATGTCCTGGAATTAATATTTCACACATAGGTGGTTGAATATAACAATGCATTGTGATCAGAAGCTTAGCGGCAGTTGACCGAAACCTTTTTCTCTGTAAGAGCTAATGCTGCCATCAGACAGAATGGCACCCTGGATGGTGAACCATACGCTCACATAGGGCTCATAGGGAAAAACAAGTTGCCTTGCAAAAGTCGTCATTGGATGGAAGGTAAGACACCAGATGAGTTATATAAATCCATGTCATTTAAATTTTAAAAAGTGCCTCTGCTTACGTTTATCATGAAAGGCAGTTACACTTGATTAATTTTATTAATGAAGCATTTGCTATTTCTAATGCTATAAGCATTTTGTTGCTGATGTTATGAAAACCATACATTCCTTTCCATTTATCTGTATCCAAAAGAATTGGATGGAGGGATAGATGGATCGATATAAAAAAAGTGAAATTTACGTTAAAAAGCACGTTACGTTAGAAATTTATGTTAAAAAGCACTTCTATAGAATACACAACATCTACCAGTGAAAAGAGGGATAATGTTGTGATGCAGCTTTCAGCAACTAGTGGGGGACAGGCTAGACGGGACTACTTTAAGCAGTGGGATAATGTTTAGGGTCACTTTGAGGGACACATCGTTTCACTGCATTTTTCTTAATTGGACCTTGATGTTAAATTTCAGCTGTTTTTCTTCCATACCTGCTTCAACTTTGGTTTATAACATACTTTAATACAGGTTACCAACCAGAGTCATTTAAATTAGTCAGAACTTGTCCTGTAATTTTCTTTCAAAATTTTTGTCCTTTTTTTTGTGCCCGTTTTTGATTGAATTTGTAACGTTCATATGTTCTAATTATAAATGTGATACTTTTTCTTCAGGGACAATCATCTTTTGTGTGCGTTTCATTTTAGTTTCTGTCAAATACATGTGAAACACTCCATATAGAATCCAATGAGAGATAAATAAATATTTTTCATTCCAGCTTTACTGTAATGGTTATAAACAAAGGAAATTGGAATGGAAAGAATAATGGTGGATAAAATTATATTGAAAACTTTTACATGAAATTAAACATAAACTATTTTGTAATTAATATTTCTGAACACTGATGAGCCACAGGATTTGAACCCCCACTACATCTTTTGCACATTAGATTAAAGATGCATTTAAAGTTTTATTGACAATTAACAGCTGCAAAATGTAAGAGTGACCAAAAATAAGGCAAATTCAAACTTTAAAGCATTTATTTAACCCAAGGACTTTTTATGCCCAATCCTGTTATGTTAACTGAGCTCTGCTTAAACACTGTTTTAAAAATGTGATGGCAAATGATTACAAAAGTCCTTCTTGGCTCGAACTAAAAAGTAATTCAAAAATCAAATCGCTGACTGTGGATGAGTGTGTTATAAGCTGCTGAGGTGGCTCGGGCATCTGATTAGGATGCCTCCTGGGCATCTCTCTGGTGAGGTGTTCCAGGCTCCTCCCACTGGGGGGAGGCCCAGGGTGTGACCCAGGACATGCTGGAGGGACTATGTTTCTCCCCGGAGGGGCTGGCCAAATTGGCTGAGGAGAGGGACGTCTGGGCCCCCCTACTGAAGCTGCTACCCCCGCGACCCGACCGGAAGAAGATGGATGGATGGATGGATGGATGGATGGATGGATGGATGGATGGATGGATGGATGGATGGATGGATGGATGGATGTTTAGCACAGGCATAATGAATTCCACAAAAATAAAAAAAGATTATATTGCATTGTTGAATTTGTCATATGTCAAACATCAATAGACAATTTAAAAGAACAACAATATTTACCTACAGTAGATGAATATTATATGATATACAAAACTGCAAAAAGATGCTTTACAATTAGATTTTTTTTTTTATGTTTACACCTTGTATCTGTCATGATGATTTTTAAAGATCTCACCCACATGCAGAGATTCACTCAGAGAGCCTGGGGAAATGTTAACAGGTTTATTAAGAGGTTGACAAAAAACAGAGAGAGAGATTGTATGCAGGGTTATCGCAGTGGGACTTCAGCGGTCTGGTGAACCGGAACCGGAAACTGTTAGGGGAGATCACAAAGATCAGTTCAAGGTCCGTAGGGAAAATAACTGATGAATTGCTGGATAAGACTAATGTTAGGGAGATTATGGGTTTCCCTTGGGTCCAGTTTGTGGGGGGTTTAATCCAGAGATGAATGAACTCGTTGGAGGACGGACAGGCAGACTTGCGTTGGGTCCAGAGGAGCAATGGAACGGACTGTCACCGGGTTTTCCTGAAGTGGGCTTGAACAGATCTGGTAAAGGTTTCCCCTTGCTCAGTGTGACTCGAATTAATCCTTCCAAGGGGGGTAGAAGGACCAGGCTTATCCAGTGGATCAGGAGGGCCTCCTACCGGAGAACAAAGACAAAGGCAAGGCTTAGACTCAGAGAGACAAAGCAAAGGTTAGACTCAGCTAATCTCAGTTAGGCTAGAGTACCCAATACTGGCAAACACTCTGGCATCGAGGTGGTGACAGTCTGCAGCTCAAGTACTCCTCTGGTAATGACCCAACGAGTCGCAGGTGTGCAGGGAGGCCCAACGAGAACAGGGCACCGCCTGGTGGTGGGGAGAGGAAAAACACAGAAAAACAACCCACACAAACTGGAACCCTAACAGTATCTGCATGCGGGCAGTGCTGCCCTCTTTACCTGGCCAAATTCGCGTACATTTATGTACCATTACATTATTGGTATTATAGGCTTTTAAACATTTTTAAAACAACTATAGAAACCTGACAGCTAATTTTTAAAGAGCATTTGATTATACAGCAGTTTTTGTGATCATTTTTAATTTATATTTTACCTGATTACACAAACATTTTGGATAAAAGAATGAGTTTACTGTCTCTAATGTGGAATCCAGAAAATTGGAAATGGAAATGAATGGAGTCAATACACCATAAGATTATTTTTGTTATCTAATTCAACATGTCTTTGCTTTCTTTAAGGGTGACAGTGGCGTTGGATGTAGGAGTTTGCCCTGAAATCGAAGGGTTGATGGTTCAAGCCCCGACTCCGACTATCAGTGTCGTTGTGTCCTTGGGCAAGACACTTCACCTGCATTGTCTACTGATGGTGGTCAGAGGGCCTGGTGGT